AAGCACTACTCATCTTCAGGGCTGACTACAGTCAGGAAACAGTGTGATGGCTATTTTTATATTGTCTTGCAATAGTCTCTGCAGATGATTTTCCTTCAAGGCCACTTTTGCAGGGACCCAGGTAGCACAGGTGATGTGGAGACAGTTACTGCAGAAATGTAGGCACAGCAAGAGCTGATTTGCAGAGCTCAGCACCAGTTTTTCAACTTAGAGGTCTGCATTTGTGCTGGTGAGGAGCTGCAACTCTGCCTTTGCTCCAATGCCAAGGGGCTGAACATGGCTGGTGAGTCAGGTCTCACCTGAGGGACCATTTTCAGAGCTCCAGCCCATTTTCTCTCTGGCCTTTGGTGTGGCTGGCGCTGCCCAAATGTGGCAAAGGAGAAGAGTCTTTTCCAGTGGCAGTTTTGGGGCAAGCCTCTCTGGGCATACTCACCCCTTGGTTTTTATGATGTGTATGCAAGAGGATTTCAGCCAGCTCTCAAAGTCCCCACGCAGAGGGTGCTCTCCAGCCATCACTCGACCTTAGGCAAGCCACTGCCTGGCTGTGTAAAGGCTTTACGCCCCTGTGAGCTTCATGTGCTGCTTCCCTTTCCCTGCAACATGCTACCTGTAACCGTGCTCCAGGCGAGCGGGTGAAACAAACATTACTGAATTGTGCAGCGAAGGGCTTTCAGATCAGCTTAGTGTGAGAGCTGGCCTCCTTCTGCATGTGGCTTCATGGCACCAACCTGAACTGCATGATAGTAGCGTCGTCTTTCCCCTTCCCCTCTTGGGGCTCCCCGCATCATCCAGGACCTGCTGTGGGGCTGATCATGATCCTCCAGCCAGGGAGGCTGCTTCAGGCTTGAAAGGATGAGGCCTAACTTGCCTGGGAGCTGAGGGTGGAGGGCTGCAGGGGTTCTTGGTGAAGCCTTTGAACATACCAAGTGCTGCAGGATGCAGCTGATCATTGTTTCTAATTGTGCAGCAGAGCGATCAGCTGCTTTTATCTCTCTGAGCCCTCGCTCCCCAGCTGGAGAGTGGGACGGTGCCTGCCCCCTCACTTCCCAGGGTTGTTCAGAGCGGTCGTTAATCTTAAAATCGGTGAAGCACCCAGTCACTGAAGCAGTGAATGCCACAGAAAAGCCTGGAAGGAAACTAATTCTGGTGCCAGGGTCGGGTTTGAACAAGCAGCAAACGTGCTGGGCAGTGAGCAGAGATGGAGCTTTGCATGGAGACATTGGGGCTCCATGTACCTGCTTGCTCCCGGCCCTCCTCCCTTCCCTGAGCAGCTTTCCCCAGCCTCGCTGCTCCTTTCCCTGCTTTGTGCCCGGGAGCACAAGAGGTGGGGTCTCTGCTCTCTCACCCCGAGAACGCCCCAGCCTGGGAGCAGGGTGAGGGCAGGCTCGGCTGCTCACAGACATGGCCTGCGATACAGCGAGGACCACAGTGCCCTCCCTCAGGGGGGTCTTTGGAGCCCTGGGACTGCCGCAGGAGGGTCAGCAGAAGGTAGTTAGATGTAAGCCTGTTACCAAACCTGGACACCGTCTGTGTTTTGAATGGGAAAAAACTGGCAGGTCCAGAAATTTGGAAAAGGTTGAAGATCACTTTGAGAACTTGCTGTTTAAAAACTCATTAATACCTTTTTTTTTTTTTTCTCTCTCATGCTTGAAATGTTGCTAAATTGGATGCATAGATGAAACAATAATGTTTCTCTTTCTTAGTCTCCAGCCTGGAAACATTTGGACTCTCTCCCTCTTCCCCACACAAAAGCTGTCTCAGCCAGAGCAGGCATAAATATTTTTATCAGACTTAAACTGCTTGAGCTGAAGTTAAAAGCAAGGGAAAAGAGCGGCCTTTGTTATGGGGAAGGTTGGACCGCCCTAGCAGGCAGTGCTACTGGTTTCACCTGTATTATTTACTCTTTCCACATTAGCCAGGAAAGCTGCGTCTGATGAGATGTGGGAACGCTCTGCCCGTACCACCTGTCAAGGCCAGGCACCTTGGTCACTGAGCATGATTAACCTTAAGCCTTAACTGGGATTAGTGTTTGGCTTCACTTTCTGGTGTGAATAGCTACAGTAGCAAAAGGATAGTTTTGACCAGGAAAAATTCCTCTGTTCAGGCTGAAAACAGACATGCCTCTTGCAAATTCACGTGACTGGAAGATATTGTCACTTCCAGTTTTCATCCTGACTCCCTTCCAGAGGTTGATGCCTGTAGCGTTTGCTGGGAGAAAGGTTGTGTGCATGCTTCCTGACCTACTCCTGCAAAACCAGCTGGGGTAGCCTAGACTGTCAGTGTGACTCAGAATGAATTCAGCTGAGCTGGCCAGTGGTGGACTTGGGGATGTCTGGCCTAACCCCTTCTGCTAGCAGAGCTTTGGGGCAGGTAACCTCTGGAAGCGGTGTGCCCATGGGCAGCTGGGCACAGGAGAGTCTTGAAGGGTACAAGAAGATCCTAAGGAAGCTCACTTCTTTCAGCCTTATGCATCTAAGTAGTAACCCGGTAGTAGTAAAACATCTCATCCGCAGGGACACAGAGGTCTAGCAGGGCAGAGCAGCAATGTCGTCCTGATCAAGACTGCAAGAGGAGGCACCTGGCCCTTGGCCATGTTATTTTTAAGACTGGAAAGCACACGTGGTCTGCAAGACCGTAGCACTAAGGAAGGGAACTCGCCAGCGCTTCCTGCCCTGCCCCAGCAAACTGATAAAGCCCTTTGCAATGCAGGGCGACCCCAGTTTATTTTTAAAATGTGACCAGGCACAGAGCTTACAGAATAACTGGAACACCCAGCTTTGGGCATTAATTCAGCTTTAATTCATGTATTAAAGATGTATTAAAGAGTTAATGTAAATGTAAAAAGGACAAGAAAGGCCAGCATACCGTCTCCAGAGCAATGTCTATGTAAGGACATGCATCTATGCATGTACATGGGATCTAAAAAAAGGGTAGTTAGTAAATGTTACACAGGGAGGGGCACTTAGTGTTATCCTGAGCACCGTGTGAAATTTCTTGCTGCTTGGATAATGCATCTCAATCCTGTTCCCTTCCCTTGTTATTCCAGTCCCAGCCCTCTTGTAAAGCAAAGATAATTGCATGCTGAAGGATACAGTTCCCATGTACAGTAAGTGCTCACATCGAGGAAATCTAGGTTCCTGCAATCAAAAGCCAGCCGTTTGTTGTGCAGTAATGAAAACAAGGCCCACCGGGATGGATCTATCTTTATTGCATGCCCTATGGAGGCATAAATGAGATTGCCCGAGATGTTCTCTGTCTTGCCCAGATGCTGGGACAGCAGGGTTGCTGTGGTACCGAAACACACAAGGAAGGAGCTATTGCAGGGGGAGAAAATTACAACCCTCAGCTCCCGGTGCACACACGGTGCCTCACGATCTCTTGGCTCTCTGTGAAACAGCCTCATTCCCACAGCAGGTTGAATTGGTTTGTTAGGAATGAGATTACTCTTTCTGGTTTGATTAGGTATTTTATGGATAGACTTTATTTCTGTAGCAGAAACACTTTTCTCTCAAACACACTTTTGAGGCATTAAAGGTGCTGCATTAAAATGTCCCAGCTGGAAGAAGAAATACCCCTGCTTGTCTGTCTTGTCCTTCTGATCTTCCTGTGCTAGGACTGAGGGGTAATGTTGCTAGAAAGAGGGACTGGTGAGCTTGCCACATCTCAGCAGTGGGTGACAACCTCAGATTGTCCTGCCCTGAACAGGCGCTTGGGATCTTGATAGTGATGCTAGCTCTCAAGAAACAGAAATGCCACCTTGGAGGAAACAGCCCAGGCTTTAGCCTGAGCACCCTCTGGCCCAGACCTCTGGGAGGCCTCGTCAGGACCAGGCGGATGCCCCAGCAATGGGACCGTGTCCCAGAAAGCTGGGAATTAAATTCTTTCATCGTGAGTCCCATGGCATGGAAACCTTTATTAAGTGTGAGGTCTGAGCAGCAGAGCCAGTAACCACACGAAGCAACTCCAAAACACCATAGGAGTCTCGGTCACGCCAAGGGCCTGTGCAAGGGGTGACATGTGGGACTGTTGCTGGCACACGGCTGCCTGTGGCAAGCGCAGTGACACCAAGACCCGGGGTGTGTCCTCACAGCCACGCTGAGGTCACTTCAAGTAGGAGAGAGCTGGCTGCAAGCACAGCTGCTAAGGGGGTGCTTGGGGAAGATGGCTTAGATCAAAGCCATAGTGTTTACTAGTGTCTTCCACAGATTAATAGTGAAGTAAGCACCAAAAATAAACAACCCAATGCTTTTAAAACCACTGGGTTAAAGGAAACCCTTTCCAATTTAGCAATCTTTTTGTCTCTGCCCTTTTTCCGGGGACTGCAGTCATGAGGCATCCTGGGGGCCGGGAGGGTTTGCCACAGCCTGATCCTGATGGTGCTGAAAGGCAGGAAGAATTTTGCCTCTAGTGCTTGCTTAGAAGCACAAAACCATGCAGGGTTGTTCCCACCCAGGTGCACATAACCAGCACCAGCAGTGAAGATTGCTCTGATCCAAGCAGGCTGTGTGGATCCCCAGACGTGTATAACATGGACAGCTCTGCCTATGCCATTGCCATGTCTGTAACATTAGCCTTATGTTGAGGGAAAGCAGTGGTCATCTCCAGCCCTTCTTTTTTACATCTGGGGAGGTCCTGCCTGCTTCTTGCCCTTTCTGTCCTGACAACTTTAAAGGAGGGAGGAAAAACATGGCCTCCAACACTGCCCCAGTAGCACCACAGCGGGTTGACAGTAGCAAGCGCCTTCACAGTTCTGTTCTTCAAAGTTGATTTGATAAGAGGACACTTTCATCCTCACTATCTGCTGATAAAGTCTCTTTGGGAAGCTTGGTTGGTAACTTGCAGAAACAGGCATGCGCTTAGGAGCTTCTAGACTTCAAGCATTTTTTTCAGGGCGAGAAAGGGTGCCAAAGCTTTTATTCAAGTGGGGAGTTTCTCTCATTTTTCTTCTTGAGGGAATATACTCTGAATTGTGGGTCATTCTGCCTTTCTTTCTCTTCCAGGGAAGGAACTGCCATGCCTGTGGGAATCTTCCGGGTGTGCCTAGTGGTCATTACAGCTATTGTCAACCACCCACTCCTCTTCCCTAAAGAGAATGGCACTGTCCCCGAGAACGCAGAAGAAATCATCCAGAAGATGAAGGAGCGGGAGGAGAGCCTTCGGCTGGAGCAGTTGCGCTTGGAGCAGGAAATCGCAGACCAGGAAGCCACACAGAAGGCTCTGGAAAAGGCTGCAGAAGTAGTAGAGGAAAGCAAAGAGGAAAAGGTCCGATGGGATATGTGGACTGCCCTTTCCATGGTCATCTTCCTGCAAACAGGAAGGGAATTGGCAGGACACAGGAGGAGAAGAGGATGACATGGCTGTCCTGGGGAAAGCATTTAAAGGAGTGACCTTCCCTGACAAGGCTGTCTTGGCCGGCTTCTATGAGAAGCGCATCCTGGGTACTACCGGGGACATGGCCAGGATGCGGGAGATGGTGGAAGGCTTTGCAGATGACTTGCTGGAGGCCTTGAGGAGTGTTTGTAACCGGGATGCTGACATGGAAGTGGAGGACTGCATGGGTGTGGGGAGCATGTATGAGAATTGGAGAGTGCGTAAACCTTTTGTCTGTGATCTGATAGTGCCTTTTGCCCCCCCAGAGCCATACTGTTTCCGGTCCCAGACCTGGTGCTCTGGCGACTCTTCTCCCCCAGATGAACAAGGTTACGGCACTATCAAGGTATGCAGGGCCGATGAGGATGTGACAGGTTGCATCTGTGACAAAACTAAACTAGGGGAAGATATGCTGTGCCTCCTCCATAGCCAAGCCAATACTACCAGGCCCAGCAGTCAGATGGAAGACCTCCTGTGCTTCAAAAATACTCAATATCTGGATGCCGACCAAGTCATGAAGTGGTTCCAGATCGCGGTCACCAAGGCCTGGAACAGAATCTCCCACAAGTACGAATTTGACCTTTCCTTCAGCCTCCTGGACTCGCCAGGAGCCCTGAAGATAAAATTTAGGTCAGGGAAATCAATTGCCTTCAACCTCACCCCTGTGGTGCAGTACGAGAACTCTGACGTTTACTTCATCTCTCATTTTCCTCGGCGGGGCCTGGCAGCAGACCTCCCCTCCAGCACTCACTGGTTTCTCACCTTCGCAGTGTATGAGAGGAGGTTCATCCAGCTGGTTTCCAAAACGCTGCCTGCTAACGCCTGCCATGTCAGCTGCCTTCAGATCCTCTCCTTCCTCCATGGGAAGCAGTGCAGCCTCACAGGTCCAAGTGGGCTCACCAACTACCACCTGAAGACCGTGATGCTGCATCTCCTGCAGGCACGCCCCAGTCAGGACTGGGCCCCAGAGAAGTTGGAGGCCCGTCTACAGGACATGCTGAAATTCCTGGAGAAATGTTTGCATGAGAAGAAGCTCTACCACTTCTTCATTGGCAATGGGAGGGTACCAGCAGAGCTGGGCTTCCCAATCATATTCCAGAGGGCTGAGCCTCTCAACCTTTTCCGTCCCTTTGTGCTACACAGGGACGTTTACAGGAAGACAGTGGACACGTTCCACGAGATGCTCAGGAACATGTCTGCACTGATAAATGAGTATACGGTGCACATCCCCCTTACACACACCAATGGGATCCATAAGGAATCCCTTTAGCCAAAGCCAGCAGGAAAACACTTGTTCCTCTAAGCACAAGTCCAGAGGGCAGCTTTCCGAAGCCTTCTGGAGACAACTGACTTTGCCAGTACAGCTTCTTGTCTGCAGCTGAACCGGTCCTGGACCATGGTTTCTGCAGTAAGGGAGAGGGGATGGGGGGAGGATAGGGAGAAACTGGAAGACGTATAAAAGTAAGTTTCTGCTCCACTGGTGTGCTGGCTGGGTTTTATGCAGCTAAGAATATATTCTTTTATTGTGCCTCAGTCACGCTACAGTGGTGGTGAGCAACAAATATGACTAATTTATTCAGATGCCTGCAATGCAAACAGTGATGGTCGCCAAATACTTCATTTCCTTTGGAAGGGGGAGATAAGAAAAGGGTGGAGGAATCAGAGACAGGATCTTGGGATCACAGGAGCCTGTCTGCTTGCAGATAGCAGGAGCTCTGCGACCGATGGGAAGCGCAACGCAAGACTCAGTGCTGATGTGGGGAGGAGGGTCATGCACAAGATCTGGACTGGATGGAAATCCTTAAATCAACCACAGGTCTTTAATCAAAAGGTAACTGTAGTTATAAAAAAAAGCCTTCTTGATAGGACTTGCAGCAGTACTTTAAATGGCTTGCCCTGTCCTTCAAAAACACCCCTGCACCCTGCACATTTCTTCTCCCTGGGAAGGATGTAGCAGAGCAGGCAGCAGAGTCTGTGTCTTCAGACCATTTCATTCAAGTCTTCCATTTTCTTCATGGTAACATGGCTAGTGGGTTATATTCCTGGCCATTTTCCATGGATAAATGGACAGGAACCTTTTTTACCTTAGATAAAAGAGAGAAACACTGTTACTGGGTTCTGGCATCTTGGTTTATTTGTTTGTTTTCCTTACCTCGGGGCAGCAAGGCTGATAACAGCCAAGAGAGAAAGGACTGCTACAGGTTTTGCTTTCATAAAATAAGTAGTTCTCCAAAATTATCCTGTAATGAAGCCAATCTCAGCAGTCTAGTAGCAGGAGGGAACAATCACCCTCCAAATGAGAGTGTGACTCTCCCAGCATGGTTTTAATGAGGCCAAGGCCAGCAGGATGGCTCTGAGTTAGGAGGAGGGCATGAAAGAGGTGCACATGTAGCAGAGCTTGGCAGCGCTGTCTCTGCCTTGTGGTCTGTGTTGCATCCCTTCTGCTCCCAGATACCCAGGCAAAACTTACCTGTTTGCTTCCATATAGGATCTCCTCAATCCTTTTAAAGACTGCTGCTCTGATGAGGCTCTGAGGAGCTGCTGCTAGCAGACCATAATTTGCTGAGCCAGGAGGGCGATGGGGAGGTGACAGCTTCTGCAGGCTTTCAAGTCAGGGGAGAATCTCGAGGCATGTGCTAAAAAACCCAGTGCGGAAATGGAGATGCCTGAACTCCCTCAGGAAGCAGCATGTTAGTGCCATGCCAGTGGGCTGCCCAGCCCCGGTGAGGTGGCTTTGCTGGAGGAGGAGGCTCAGTAGCTCCTCACCCTCCTTCGTGTGCTTCGTGAAGGATCCAAGCAGATCTGCTTTGTGCTGGCCCTGGAGGCCTGGCCTCCAGTGCTAAGGGGCCTTTCCTACCATTTTCTTACTAAGATTTCCTGCAATGTTTTACACTAGGGCTTCTCTGGATCCTGTTTACAAGAAGGTAGTTGTTCTGGGTGGTGAGACCCATCAGGGATGATATTACCATGACTCCACAGGTCCCTTTTTATCAATCCTCTCTATCACATGCATCAGAGAGAAGATTTAATCCTGTATCACTGTATCATACAGCATGAGGCTTATTATCCAGCCTGTTGATAAGCAAACTCTCCATAAACGTGTCCTCTTCTCCCTTTTCCTGGTAAAAACCATTTCACCACCTCCTGGATGCCCGCTCTTGTCTGTCCCTCCACCAGTGAGGGACATTTCATGCACAAAGGCAGAGAAAGCTGTAACTCCTGTTTGCACACCTGGTTTATAGGAAAGCACAGGTGAGGACACGAACTCTCTGCTCAATTTGCTGCTCCCCTTGGCTTTTATCATCACAGCTATAGGGTGGTTTCTGAGCAGAAAGTAAGGGGTAGGAAGCAAAATGGGAGAGAAGAGGCTGGTGGGTAGGGCCAGTAGGAAAAAGTCTTGGATCATCAGTGCTTGCTTCAGCACCCTTGGCAATGAGTGCCTGGGAGACTGCCAGCGTTGGCAGAGCAACAGGGCAGGACTAATTGCTAACGCTAACAAGTGCTGTAAGCCCCTGGCTTTCATTAGTACAACCAAGCAAGCCTTCCCCAGTAGGAAAGAGGGCAGCAGCAATCTCAGGGGACACGACAAGCAGCGGTACAGGGAGGGTGGATGAATACTGGAGCCTGGAGGCTACATCGGGAGCTGTGTAAGTTGTTTGCAAACCCAAGCAATTTGCCATTTTACCTGCCCAGGTTTACTGCACAGTGCTTGTAGCAGATCCAGCTTTGCATGGGCGACTGGCAGGCAGGTCATGCTGAAGCAGTTGTGGTCAGAGTTGCTTCTAAATGTGTTCCCAGCCCAGCCAGAGAGAAATAAAATTTTCTCTGCCATTTCCTGTCAGGAGTCTAAATTTAGACTGTCCAAACAACAGAAACAAATTTGTGACCCAGGTCTCTCAGGAAATGACATTCAGGGTTGAAAAAATAACTTTTATATAAGGTTGAGCTGGGGGAGGGTGAGAAGAAAAGACTGTTGAATAGAATAAGGTAACTCCCCTGTTAAAACGTCAGAACAAAGCTTTGTAACACCAGTCCTACGGGCTTGTAAACATGCCTAAACTCGTCTTTACACAGCTCCAAGCACTGCTGCTCAGACTCAAAGGGAACCTAAACTGATAAGTGGATTGAATCTTTTGTTCTTCATTTTCTGTATTTGTGTGCCTGTTCTCTCTTAAGCCCAAACTGACCCTGAAGTGTTCCCATGGAGTTTAGTTGAACCCAAGCTGGAGCTGAACCAAAGAATTTATGGATTTGATTCCCCTGAAAGCAAATTGCTTGGCTTAATTTTCCTACATGCAATATGCTCATTTTGCCCTAAGCACCTTTTAAGAGGTCTGTGTTGTGTATTTAGGCTGTGAGGGAACCCACTCATACCTGTCCGGGGGGAGAAGTGCTCTTTGATTATAAGCTGTGCTACAGTAAGCCTCAAGGCGGAGATCTTCTTTGTAAGCCATATACCAGCATATATACCAGAGGTATATATGTGTCCTATTAGAGGAGATGTGGGTACACAGCATTTCTCTGGATCAGACCTCTGCAGTGGTACAAGAGGCCATGATGAAGCACATCATTCTTTGGACTGCCTTGTCTCTCCTGTATTAAATCTTTGCCCACCAAGTACTAGCCCTATCAGTAAAAGGCCACACTCACATTTCATAAAAAAGGTTTATAAGACAGTTCAGCTCCATCAGCTGTCAGACAGTAAAAATGTCCTAAGACTTTTTAGTGCTGCCCATGTTTATTTCTGCCTTGATTGAAGTCTGGCTGGGCATTCATAGGAAGCAGCTTTAAAGGGTGGGGGTGGAAGTGGGGTTTTGTGGTTTAAAGTGAATAACGTTCTTTTAAAACCAAACAGCATATGATATGTGAGTAACAAACACACAACATCTCTTTGGTAATGCCTGTATCTCCGTGAGAGGTCCTAAGGAAGGGTAAACTGCCTGATCCGGACCTCTTTCTTGTGTCTTAGTGCTGTTCTTGCCATTTGCTAACCAGGTGAATTTAACAGAGGAACTCCTATTGCCTTGTGCTGCTTTCCAACCACTCCCTCCGCCCTCAACTTGTGGTTTTAGTATTTCATTATAGTCTCTGTGGAAGCAATGGAATTAGTCATGGCTTGATAGCAGCCACTGATCTACAACATAGCCTCAGGAGCCATTTGCCTTTAGGAAATGTCTTGGTCTAAGGTTATTATTGTTGTTCAGGAGCTGAATGTCTTCTGAGGGGAACTGTTGGGAGCTCACTCTTTAGTATGTGACAACCATAGAATATGGCTTCTCTCTCTCTGAGTTGCTCTGTATACAGGTCTTATGGGGGTATAAAGATGTATTTCAGCAAAGACATCCAAAACTTTATCCAGTATTCAAGCAGCAGGATTTGGTGCTTGTTCACCAGATGTTTTTAATGAAAGCCTTTGCAACGTTTTCTCTGTGCTGAAGAAATGAGACTTTACCCACCTGTAACAGCTTAGCTGCTGGTCATTGAGGGGTTAATTGTCATAGGATCTTACATAGTAAATAGCTTTATTTATTACTTGTCTTTTTTTTAGGATTGGGGGTGTGTGTGTGTAATATGTTAGCTCAGAAGCAAAACTCTAGTATGAAGATCAATCTTGGCAATGCAGCTGAGATAGGCAGTAACACCAAAACTCTCCAAACTAAGGTCTTCCTTGATTGACAATGCTGTACTCAAACCGCTGCTTTTATAGCAGGACACTGTTGAATTTGTATAGATCTTCTCATGCAGCTTTATTTATAATAAAGGAAGTCTTGTACAAAATCTAAAGAAGTGTGAAGTCTGTTCTATTTCTAGTTCCCCGCAAAATGTTTCTGAGAGAGCAGAATATGCTCAGTGTTTCTGAGAGTCGGAATATGCCCAGTGCGATCCTAGCACAGTGAGCCCAACAGCAAGAATCCCTGTGATTTCTGACTGCCTGTAGAAATTGTTCCAGAATAAGATGCAACGTGAACATAAAGTGGAATAGCTATTCCAGAATAATGCCAGGGATGTCAGACTTCCCGAGAATATGAATCCACAGGAATTCAAAATAATTATTCTGGGTATCTCTGCTCAAAAAACACCATTTTGTGGCAAGCCCTAAATATTGCTGGTAGATGTTGCCCTTATTGGCTGAACCAAAAATCTCCTGAATTTCCAGTTCAGCTAGAGGAATCCTCTTTACCTGCTTGTTTCACAGGTATCCACAGCCAAGTTCCAGCAACCACCCACCACCACTTAGCCTCCTGCTTAACCCCTTTCCCTGGTTTAAGG